TGCGAAAAATAAAATAACGTAGTCGATTGTTATAGCAAAGTTGTTCTCATCCAGCTCAACTCATATCATTATGGGAAAATTCTACTAACAATATTTCATCAGCTTAGACGAAATATGGTGAATACATCTCATACTACTGATTTACTGGTAGTCTCGAAAAATACTTAAATGCGAAAAATAAAATAACGTAGTCGATTGTTATAGCAAAAATACATTTGCCTCATCGACCATCCACCTGAATGAGAACATCTTTAGGGTAAGCAAAGTAATGTGAAATTCAATGGAAACTTTAGCTCAACTCATATCATTGTGGGAAAATTATACTACCAATCCTTCATCCACTTAAACGAAATATAGTGAATACATCTCATACTACTGATTTACTGGTAGTCTCGAAACTCCAGTCAGATACGAAAATCAAGTTTATTTGTTTCTTTGATTAGTTAAAGTGTACCGAGTCCACGGTCCGACTCCTGAAATTAGCATGCATACTATGGACTCTGGACAAGATCCTTCCGCCAATATGACCAAGTTGCGAAAAAAAGGTCAAATAATTAGTATCCAACGAAAATAGACCGCAACCATACAAAAGGCCACACCATTTTGGTCTTCATACCTCCGACTAAAAGTTATTGTCACTAAATGTTCATTCCTTTATGCTATTCAATTGATAGACTTAACGTGATACAAATCCAATCTGATGAATTGCACCTGAGACTTTTAAGAAAGATTAAAGTGTGAAGAATGTGGTGTTTTAGTGAAATAACTAGAAGAAGGTCAAGAGGGTTATTTGATTGTACATGTCTTCCTGATAAACGGCGGATGAGCGGAAGGATAGAAAGTAAAAACGATTCCTGAGAAGGACAACCCGCAAACCCTACTGGAGAGGGTTATCCAACATGGAAGAGGTGAAAATGAATGTTAAACCGATGGGTAGTCGTTGAAAAGTGGACGAAACCAAAACGGTTCTCAGATGACTTTTCGACCACTCATCTCCCTAAGTCACATCAAGTGGTAAAGAATTTGTAGCTCACTTTCGCCGAGATCATATGAGCAGACCTCAAGTTTTTATATCGAATTTCACTTGGCTCTCCTATTTCGTCAAGTTGGACTGCAATTTCGACCTTGTGGTACTCAAACCAGAATACCGAATAGATTTTGATAAAGTTCAACCAACCGTCCTTTATCGCCTCAAGATTTACCGACAGCCTTAAAAGCCTACTTTACCTCAAGGTTCGGCCGACTTGTACATTCGTAAACACAGAAAAGTGAAAGTTGTTGCGGCACAAATTTGAAAAGGACGCTTGTTAACGTCTAGAAAAGTGTTTGCAGCTGAGACGAGCATCAGCACTTCTCATGTATGAAACCTGAAGCAAATTGATAATGTACCAGATAGCGACACACGATAACCAGAACCAGTCGCCTCAAGGCAGGTAGATCCGATTTACGATCGGCTCTAAAAGTCCCGATCGGGTAGGTCAAGAGGTAGGCTGGATACAATGGCGATATTTGATTGGTCGACTCGAAAACAGAGTGGGCTAAGAGGTAGCTGAGCGTGTGATGTGACGAAATTTATCGTTTTCGCGAGAACGATGGTGAGTAAGATATGAATTATAAAGTATTCTGGCATAATTTGTCAAAGTTGCAATTTCTTGAATAAAAACGAATAAATTGAATTCCTTATCTCTCTGGGTTAGAGCCAAAATTTCTATTTGTTTAATATGATAAGATTAAATGAAACCCTATGAAACTTCATATAAACTACATTGAAGATTAATTAATTGCTCTTGCGGCCTAGTTTTACTCATATTTTAACAAAGCCTTAGAAGAAAGAACACATTGTCAAAGCATTGCCCCAAAAATGTACAGCCAAGTCTTGCTCATGCCATGCGACCTTGGGCGATTATTACTCCGATTCAACATTTACCGATAGTCTCAGCCTACTGCCAATACATATAAGTAGTAATAAACATCTATTTAAAATAAACACTGTCTACCTTTGTGATCACCTGCACTCGCGTCAGTTTGAATGTGTACAGCTGCAGCTGAACAGCCGTAACTAGAGACTGGAAGAGCATGAGTTGGAAACCGGTGTACATGTCGACTAAACTCGCCGGTTCCACTGATTGTATTACGAAGCCACTGTGTGAGCTGGGCCAGTGTCTGATGACTACGCTGGTGGAGCATCCGAGCATCGGTGAGCTTGCCTAGAGGCTTGTCGTCACAATGTTGCTCGTCAGCGGTACGGTTCGACTCGGTCCTACTGTCCGTCTGGTGAGAATGGTCTTTGCTAGAGGTAGCGCTATCAAATGGGCAGCCAGCAGGACTTTCAGTGAATGGAATTATCGGTCCCAAGGTGAAAAGTATGTTTTCTGCTTTGATGTCTCGGTGTACAATATTGTTCTCGTGCTGTTAGGTTGATGCAAAAAATTGTAAAATATTCTTTTTCTCTCTATCTAATATTTATTTCAAAGCTCTATATCACAGTATTCTCAATGTATCTTTGCTTCCTCAAATAATATATTAAATAGAGCCTCTTTCCTACCACGGTCTTGGTTGCAGCCAAAAGGGTCCTTTGAAACGTCAAAAAAGTAATTTGAGATATTAACTTCTTACTTTATGTCTGATCCTAAGGTCCAATTTACCGATAAAGCGCTACACCAATCGCTTTTTCGAACCTCATTAAACATTATTGGACCTTTGAAGAAATGTACAAACTTTATCCTCACTTGTTACTCACAATATTTCCTAGGTTTTAAAGTGATTCCTCGCCATGGCTACTCGGACACAATATTTTTCAATAAGGGTCAATTACTAGAACTGTAAAAGTATTTCAAATATTGCAGTGACTTTTCACATAATCAACCATTACTTTCGGCCATTTCAAATTGCTGTCGAAAGTAATAAAGTATTCCACAGATCAGATTGGTACTTTTTTTTGTACAAGGCGCCAATTGTGCTAAAAATACTTTTACATGATACGATGTCAACTGGGGAAAAAAGCTGCACGAATTATTCCTGTTTGGTCAAACTTTTGTGCAGTGAATGTTAAAATTTCTATAAGTATATAGATAGATAATGAGTTTTATATATTTATTTTTATATAAATACTTACCAAACCTTAAGTAGCCTAATGTGACACGGATTTTTGTTTAAAATGATATTTTTAATTTGTATTTAGAAGTAGAGTTTAGCTGCCAATTTTCTTCTTAATCTCCTTAAAAACCAAAGAGTCATTGCCTCCATCGGTCAAGTTTATTCCCAAGCCGTAAACAGCCCGTTTTTACTGCCGCTCAACTCTCAAAAATGCAGAGTTATTCTAGTTGACCTAATCATTTTGACACAAAATTAAGTAGTCATATTATATAAGATATGAGACTCAATTGAGCCTATTTCAGCACAGTCATCCTTCGCTCTCTCAAGTTTAGTTTCTCCATCGGGTGAAAGTTGGCAAAAAATATG